GGTGGTGGAGGAGGAGCAGGAGGGGGAGGGGGAGTGGGAGGATGGAAGTGGTAGTACAGAAGAATTGTCAGAGTTAGTTGGCGGCAGAGAGGACGAGGATGAGGCGGGCGGTGGATGAAGTTTGTTGCAGTTCGAGAGTTACAGTTGATCCGAAGATGTCCAACAAGGCCGATTCGAGCCCGGAATGTCCGTTGACACCGAGGACACGTTGAAAGCGGTTGTGCGGCGGCGTTGCTAACTGGGCGCAGTTGGGATTTGCGGGCTTCGCGATTCGCTTTGGCGGCGGCGATGCGGTTGGCTTCGTGGATAGCAGCGCCCGTCTTCACTGTTCTCCTCCATGTCGGACGATCGCTTGTTTGTCAGGATAAGCGGTGTTCGGCGCAGGTGCGGAGCAGCAGCAGGCCGTTGTCGTTGGAGCCGTGGAGACCGTGGGGACCCAACACTCCTCCCCAAGAAGTATGGTCTGTGCCGACACTGGCGTTGAAATCGTCAAGGACAATCAACTTTTCCCCCTACGGCACAGTCGCCAAGAGAGCGGGCAAGTTCTCGTAGAATTTGTCTCTGACGGCGTCGGGGTTGGTCATCGTCGGAGCGTAGGCGCTGATGATGGTTACGAATTTGCCCCCACTCCGCAGTCAGACGTAGGCTCATCAGGCGATCGTTGATGCCCTGCGGCAGTCTGGGCAGTCGTCCCACGGTGTCTTTCCGGATGGCAAAGGCAACACCCGCGTCTCGTCGCTCTGCCCTGAGTCGACCACTCCAGTAGAAGGTGTAACCGGCTTCCACCTCTTCCAGTTGGCCTTGTTCGGAGAAACGGGTCTCGCTGAGTGCGGCGATGTCCACCTTGTAGCACGCCAGTTCTCGTGCCACTAACGCTGTCCTCCGTTCCGGTCGGTTGCTCCGCGGATTGTCTAAAAGGGAACGAGCATTCCAGGCTGCCAGAGTTAGCGGACTCACCCTGCTAGTCTGGTGACAACGAGTGGGGCGACTGGAGGGAGATGGAGAAAAAGGTGACGAAGGAGAAGAATAGGCAGAAGAAAATTCAGAGAAAGAGGTAGAAGAGGTAGGATAAGGAGAATGAGTATGGTTGTTGTTGTTGTTGTTGTTGTTGTTGTTGTTGTTGTTGTTGTTGTTGTCATTGGTATTGTTGTTGTTTCGATTTCGATTGTTTCGACCATGATTCGACGTCTGCGGCCCTGGCTAGCCTGGAGACGGCGTGGTACTCAGCAATGTTTAGGCCACCTTTTCTAGGCCTTTCCCCTCGTGGGGGCTGGCAGTGCCATCCCTGAATAGGGCTGCCATGTGCCGTTGTGGCACGGCCGAACTCCACTATGGAACCACGACTTCGGGTTGTAGTGGAGAGCGACTCGAATTCGCCGTAAGCCGCGGTGTCCGACGGCGTAGGTGGGCGCGTCAAGGCGATGTCGATGTGGAGATCCATCCCGTCACCAGCTGTCCAGCGGCGTGCAGAGACGAACCACGTCATGACGGTGCCGACGCAAGGTACCATCCGACCTTCCATACAGCGGAATCCGCAAACCATGTGCACACGGCACAGCGCACAGGGCCCCCTCACCAGGTTTAGCCCGCCGGTCGAGACGGTTGCCCGGGGTGTGGCCAATGAGCAGAGCCCTGCTACGTGGAGCCACAGGTGAGAGTTGGGTGCTTGCAAATGGACGCTAGGCGTAGTCTCACCTGCAAGCAAGTGAGCGACCACTAGGACCATCACGTGAACCCACCGCTGACACCCCCCGCACTCCAGGGAACTCATGGTAAAGTAATTATAAACCCTGCCATAATTTCATGAAGCCTCTGAAGTGGTCTTCCTACAGCTAAATCGGTTTATTCACACTGCTCAAAAACCTCACTGTGCGTTATGCCCTCTCAAATATGGTATCCTATTCCCATCAAGTAACGAAGGAGTCCAATGAATCGCATTTTGTGAGCTTAGTGCTCCTGCGTGTATTTTGGTTATGCCAGTTGACGCTAGTTTACACGTGCCAATGATCACAAACTAGCTGTCTATCGGCGTGACGCCCTGCGTCTCGTCTTTGCACACCCACTCGAGTGCGAACACCGATTCAATTGCTATAACACTAAGGTTGTAGCAACAGCCAACACGAAATGATCGAGAGATTTTTACGAGACTTGATCTCACAATGAGAACACTATCAACCACCTTGTTGACCTAGACACCCACTACAAGGGTTTTGCGATCACGGCTCACTGAAGTGTGCCCCATTCCATATCAACGAAGGCGAATAAGCCGCGCGTGGTTCCAATTATTCACTGTCCCGTTTCCTCAACCCGCTGCACAGGAAACCTTAGGCATTCTCCCTTCCTCCCGCCTGCCCGAAATCATACTGTGACTATGTGCTCATCTCTTTCACACTCAGATGGCTTTCTGTCACCGTCTGTCGCGCATTGTTTCATTTCGTCTGATGATGTGTTGATGTCAACAAACTGAATATTCACGAGTGACACTCGGTTCATCTCCAGAGGAACTCTCCTTTATCAAAGATATTCATATATATTGCGTAGAATAACATAAAATAAAACAATAAATACTACGATAAATGGCTCTCAACGATCAACCTATAAGATATGGCAGAGAGTTTTGTAGTGGCTAGTAGTTTATGCAGGTAATGGATTACCGACAAAGACAGGGGAGACCAGACTTATCACTTCTGGCGGCTAAGGCCTTTACCAGCTCGCTTTACATAACATGGACGTTTGGGAACCCCGAGGCTAGAACACGCGTTCCGTCGGTAAGAAGGCTAGTGTCTTAACCACTGAGTTATGGACTCGCTTCCATGACGGTTTCGATAGGGTAATCAGATAGAGTAGAGAGGCGCGCATCGCTTGCGTCACGGGACTGATGGCGACTACTAAGCCATAAGTGGTCATTTCAGTCGCCCGATCGCAACCGACAAGACAACGAGCCCTTGCACAAAGGAGGTAGCAGAATGGCAGCAAGCTGTTTCAGGCCTATTAGCTTAACTTGCGTCTTATGCAAAACGATGGAAGCTCTAGTAAAGAGTGTCATACAGCAATTTTGTGAAGAAAATAACAGTTTGCAGGATTCTAGGCATGGCTTCCAGAGAGGACGTTCCTGCCTCTCAAATCTGCTAGCTTGTCTGGAGATCTGGACCAGGGCCCTAGAAGAGGGTTTTAAGGTTGATGTCATGTACATCGATTTCCGCAAAGCCTTCGATACTGTTCCGCACAAACGTCTTCTTCACAAATTGAGCGCCGTCGACACCCGGTGAGATCTTCTGAACTGGATATGGACGTTTCTGGTTGGTCGGAAACGACGTGTTTGTATCGGAGATGATATGTCAGAACGAGTGAACGGGACCAGTGGTGTTCCTCAAGGCTCAGTTCTGGGACCATTGTTCTTCTTCCTTTGTGTTAATGATAGCCTCGGGAACTCGACTGCGGCAAAATAATGTTTGCGGACGAAGTAAAGCTCTGGCAAGTCATTAAGAGTCCTAACGACCAGAGAACACTCCAAAACAATTTTCATCGACTGCAAGCGTAGTCGGAGAAATGGCTTCTAGATTTCAATGTGCATAAATGTGCCGTCCTTCATCTGCGTCCAACCAACTCTCATTCAAGTGAGAGCCTGAGGACATATCACCTGAAAGATATAAGACTTCCCACACAATCTTCACAAAAGGATCTCGGGGTTTAAATACAGAACAACCTAAAACCAACACTGCAGTGCCACAAGGCTGCAAAAACGCCATAGGAGTACTGCATGCAATCAAAAGGGCGTTAGTTACCTTTGACCAAGACCTTTTTGGGACAGTTTACGGCAGCTTTGTTCGGCCCCACTTAGAATATGCATAGAAGCTTGGCGGCCATGACTAGTCAAAGACCAAGCATGCTTCGAGCGGGTGCAACGTCGGGCAACAAAGATGGTAAACGGTCTGAAAAGCTAATCCTACACGGGAAGGCTGAATTGCCTTAATTTATTCCCTCTGTGTTACAGGCATCAAAGAGGTGATCTTATTCTCGTCTACAAGATAATACATGGCCTTGAGCATGGACTTAGGTTTGAGGAAATGTTTCTGTGGCCCCTTTCACACAAACTTCGTGGCCACTCGATGAAGCTACGGACAACAGTGTCCAGGCTGAACCTTCGTTCTGAATTTTCCCAGAAGGTGGTGGAGAAATGGAACGGTCTCCCTCAGTCATTAGTGGAGTTGACGTCTCTGAAACCCTACAAGAAACGATTGGGTGATTATTTGTGTCCCCTGTTTTCCCTCGACAGTCTGAATTTGAACGAAATACCCGGGTCCCCGCAATTTTTTCTCTGGGACAATGCTACTCAAATGAATATAGTACCGTTTTAATAGCGAATATTGTAATAGCTCGTGCACAGTTAGTTCTAACGAGCTGACATGTAATCAATGGGGTTTTCAAAGGCTTTGCCTATTTTCCCTATCAAATAAACTGAAATGGTTAGAGTGCTAACTTCTAACGGACAGAAGGTGGGTTCGAGCTATGGAGGCTTCAAAGCATCGGGGTTGGATTCAACTGACTGGTGGTGACTAAGATGCCAAAAGTGGCCATTCCAGTCTCCCTTGTCTTCGCAGGTAATCTCTTTCTACATATAAGTGTAAATTTCATTCCTGGAAGAATATGAAGCGGGTGAGAGGACAAGTTAATGAACCAAATTATTTTCGAATTAACGTTTCGAAAACTTCATCGTTAACATAATCAGGTTACGTGGCGATTCTTCCTTCAGACATTCATTTATATAGCTTTGCAGTGCACTATAACCGTAGTTGGCGCATGTCTTTTGAGTCGCCAGAAGGAAGAATGTCAGTAACAACAAAGAACCACTTAGACAACTGACAAACGGAGAGAAACTAACCCCTGAAAAGGAGGGAATATCGGGTAGGATTGCTTATTCCCCCCTTTCCCTCTGTCCTGCTTGCTTTCCCCGCCCACCATCCTTCTCAACCGCCTCAATAACCAACTGGAAGAGAGCCTTCTGCCGGAAAGCCGGTGCGGCTACCGTCGTCATCATGGGACCACGGATATGATCTTCGCCACCCGCCAACTTCAGGAGAAGTGCCAGGAGATGCGGACCCACCTGTACTCTATCATCGTGGACCTAAAGAAAGCCTTAGACACAGTGAATCGTGAAGGACTGTGGAAGATCATGCAGAAATTCGGCTGTCCGGAGCGATTCACTCAGATGCTGCGTCAGCTGCACGACGGTATGATGGCGCGAGTCACGGACAATGGAGCTGTCTCAGAGGCATTCGCGGTGACTAACGGAGTGAAGCAGGGATGCGTGCTGGCACCAACCCTCTTCAGTCTCATGTTCTCTGTCATGCTGATGGACGCCTACCGCGACGAACGTCCCGGAATCCGCACCGCCTACAGGACGGACGGTCACCTGCTGAATCAACGGCGGATGCACTTCCTATCGCGCGTATCCACAACCACCGTTCACGAACTCCTCTTCGCCGACGACTTCGCCCTGAACACCACCTCAGAAGAGGAGATGCAACGGAGCATGGACCTGTTCTCCGTCGCCTGCGAGACCTTCGGTCTGGTCATCAACACGCAAAAGACGGTGGTGATGCGCCAACCGCCACCCAACTCAGCCACAGCCCCCAACGCGCCGACGCAAGTCAGCATGAATGGGACCCAACTGCAAGTGGTGGAGAACTTCCAGTACCTGGGCAGTACTCTCTCCCGCAACACCAAGATTTATGACGAAGTCGCCAGCAGGATCTCGAAAGCCAGCCAAGCCTTCGGTCGTCTCCAAAGCACAGTTTGGAATCGTCACGGTGTTCATCTGAGCACGAAGTTGAAGATGCACATGGCCGTCATCCTGCCGACGATACTGTATGGAGCAGAGACCTGGACGGTGTACACAAGGAAGGCACGCCGTCTGAATCACTTCCACCTCAGCTGTCTTCGTCGCATCCTGCGGCCGAACTAGCAGGATCGCATCCCCGACACTGATGTGCTGGAACGGACGGGAATGCTCAACATCTACTCCATGTTGAGGCAAATGCAGCTGCGCTGGAGCGGTTACCTGGTGCGCATGGACGACGAGCGACTACCCAAACGGCTCTTTTACGGAGACGTCGCGACAAGATTTCGTCGTCAAGGAGGCCCGATTCGTCGATAGAAGGATACCCTGAAGTCCTCCCGGAAGCCACTGCAAATCAACCTGACCAATTGGGTAGAGCTCGCCCGCGATCGTTCGACATGGAGGAGAACAGTGAAGACGGGCGCTGCTATCCACGAAGCCAACCGCATCGCCGCCGCCAAAGCGAATCGCGAAGCCCGCAAATCCCAACTGCGCCCAGTTAGCAACGCCGCCGCACAACCGCTTTCAACGTGTCC